GCACCAAGTCCCCGTCGAGCAGCAAAGGAGAGCTCAGTGTGTGTGTGTGTGTGTGAGAGAGAGAGAGAGAGCAATGAGCACCAAGGAGAGCACCAAAGGAGCRAACACGRTGAGCAGCAATGAAGASGAAGCACGGATCCGAGCACGGATGAGCACCGGCCAGCAAATCGAACCACGATGAGCACCAAGCACCAAATCGAACCACGATGAGCACCGAGCACCCTCCCCATCGAGCAGCAAAGGAGAGCACCGTGAGTGTGTGTGTGTGTGTGTGTCTGTGTGTGTGTGTGTGTGTGTGTGTGTGTGAGAGAGAGAGAGAGAGAGAGAGAGAGAGAGAGAGAGAGAGAGAGAGAGAGCAATGAGCACCAAGGAGAGCACCAAAGGAGCGAACACGATGAGCAGCAATGAGGACAAAGCACGGATCCAAGCACGGATGAGCACCGGCCAGCAAACTGAACCACGATGAGCACCAAATCAAACCAAAGCACGATGAGCAGCAAGCACCAAATCGAACCACGATGAGCACCGAGCACCAAATCGAACCACGAACCACGGCGACCACCAAAGAGAGAGCACAGTGCAAGAGAGAGAGAGAGAGAGAGCAATGTGCACCAAGGAGAGCACCAAAGGAGCGAACACGATGAGCACCGACCACGCACGGAGCACGATGAGCACCGACCACGCACGGTTCCACGATGCGAAAGCACGGAGCACGGAGCACGGAGCACAAAGGCGCACGGTGAGAAAGGCGGACGAAAGTGCCGTGGGCGGCAACAACATTCCGCGCGGGCAATTGGAGGGGCGGGCGATTGGAGGGACGGGCCGGCGATTGGAGGGGCAGGCCGGCTACCAAAAAACGGGCGATAACGGGTACCAAACGGACACGATTCGAGGGGTGCGCGCCGGCCCGCGATCTGGGCCGTCCGCGAAGCGTTACCGGCGACGGCCCAGATCGCGGGCCGATCAGAAAACTTTCTGATCGCAGGCCGATCTGGGCCGTCGCCGGTGACGGTACCGGCCTGCGATTCAGGCCGTACGATAAGAAATAGCGATTCTTATAGTAGTGTAGATGTAGATGCAGACACACACACACACACACACACACACACATTCTCCACAAGTATACCCCACATAGACATGCACACAAATCCACAGCATGGCATGCGCATCACCACCGGGTCAGAGCATCAGTTCGAGATTTGAACCCTTACCATTCCGAAACACAGTCTTCACAAAATACATGATGGCATCGTAACGAAATTGGAGAATGCATCTTCTCCTGACAAATTGCGCACATGTCGCCCGCGGCGCGAACCTGCAAAACAAAGGTAACTCTTCAATACTCAAAAAAAAAGCACTTAAAACAGACCCCGACAAGATATCAATGACGTAAGTCTCCATGGAGGAACACAAGGTACCACCCAGTACAATCCAATTGTGACAGCCATAAACAGGCACAGAGAACATCAAGCAGAGCAGCCAATCTTCCCTGCCCTGCCCTTCCTCCTACAACAACGCAACGAGGACCCAAGGACACAAGGAGGATGATTCACCACTCGTTTTTTTTGTGCCTAGTTCACTGCTATGTCCTTCCGCTTCTTTAGTGGGGAACAACACAATTCGCGCGTAGATGAACCGAAGGAAGACAGAAGGAGGGGAAGACACTCACACTGATCCATCGCTATGCATCGTGACTCGTGAGGCAAAGATACAAACGAGAAGAAAAATAAGACTCAGAAGAGGTTTCCAAACATCTTTACTTTCTCCCAATGCGTGTAGGACCTCCGTGGAGTATGGAGGCAGCACGGCAAAGATGGCAGTGTTCCTCTGTGTGTGTGTGTGTGTGTGTGTGTGTGTGTGTGTGTGCGTGTGTGTGTGTGTGTGTGTGTGTGAGAGAGAGAGAGAGAGGAGGTTCATACATGGATGAAAGGACGACACAGGGCGGCAGAGAGAGCATTCTCCGGGAGTTGCGATTGTGTTTTGGAAGCATAAACAGTCGCACTCAATTCGGTCAGGTAATATTATTGGAATTTAATCATTGTATACAACTGAGAAAATTAACTTCCAGCAAAAAGACGAGTCCAATCCAGACGCTTATGCCGGATGGAATGCACTGTGTAGTTTTTGCTCTTATCTTTCTGTTGTCGGAATTTTAGTGTGTTTTTTTTTTTTTTTTTTTTTTTTTTTTTTTTTTTTTTTTTTTTTTTTTTTTTTTTTTTTTTTTTTTTTTTTNTTTGTGTGTGTGTGTGTGTGTGTGTGTGTGTGTGTTTTATCTCACTTTAACCAGTGAAGTGCGCGCTCTGCAAGCGCTTTGGGCAGTTGAGCCAAATTCAACTACACTCGAATGGTGGACGGAAAAAGTCTTCCAGCTTCCATACCTTTGCAGGACTTCCAGCCATCGAAGAAACAAACAACAAAACACTGAAATTGAAACATAATCATTCATGGACAGTGGTAATGAAGGGAGGGCATGGATTCGGGAATGTCGAGGAGTGGTGGAGTTCGGACAGAAGCAACACCACAGCGCCGCCCACTGCGGAAAGACAGCCTGGCAGAGAGATCAGGGATCCAATCGCCACCAGAACGATGCCCGGAGTCTGCCGTAGGATGCAAAGCAGGGTCATTTGCAAAACACCTTTGCCTTCAAGCCCTCATCCCTCCACCCTCCAAACCTTCGCGCCCACTCCCCCCCCTCCCCATCATTCACCACCCTTGTCCTTGCCATGCCACTACTTCCTGCTACTTGAGAGGCTTAAGACTGTGCACACCCACTCCATACCTCTTCCTGCGTAGCATATTGACCATACTGGACTTCCCGTCGGAAGACTGCGCGGCTCGCAGACAGCCAGGTGCACAACTGCAAGGATTCCCACCAACAACCATCCATTCAATGAGACTTTCAGTTAATAAAGCAGAGCAGAGGCGTGCGCAGATCCCAATGCTGATCTCAATTTTCAGTTCCCACTCTTTTGTCAAGCATACCCTGTTCAGAATCATCCAGCCATACCGATCTGTGCCACCTGGCATGACATCCTTTCAGTGCCATTTTTTCCAAGTGTAACCCAACCCCAAATCCAAGATGCTTTCTAATAATAAATGTGTTCCGTCTTCACGAGGGCACCGCGAGTGAAAGAGAAGAAGGAAAAGGGCAAAGAACTGAAATGGTATAAAGAAGGGGCCAGAAATAGCGATCGGGGAAGTGGTGGTGGGGTTTCAACCACCAGTACATGGCCCAGGCAAACTTGAGAATCCAAATCGGCTCATTCCGTAAAGTTCATAGGCTCGGGGCTACCAGACCAAAATGGCTGACGCCACCAGAAAAAAAAGAAAAGAAAAAGCGCCGCACTGGCGTTTCGGCAAAGCTGGCGCGCACGGGAATGCGCCTCCGTAAAAGCAGGCTCGGATGTACACTGGTGGTTTAAGGGGGGGTCAAAAAGGGACATTCTAAAACAGAATGAACAACAGGACCACCTTCCCCGGCTTCTCGCTGGTGAAAAGGTGCCAAAACGAAAACAAAAACAAGCAAACACACCCACAATTCATGTGTTGTCATCTGTGGCTTGAAGCGCAGTAGCTGGAGGCTCAGAGGAACGTCCCCGATCCCAGTGATCGTTCCCCGTCTGCTTTTCATGGCATGCACTAGGCTGTACTCGCAAAAAGTCCCTGGCTGTTGTTATTTCTGCATTCGGTCATAGAGAACTCGGTGTGAGTATATATACCATAGTTGCGGCGCACCTCGGTGCATGGATTTGCGCACGAATTGCACACCGCACGCAGCGCACCGAAGCACAGCGCACTGGAAAAATTAGGTCCACAAAAAAAAAAAGAGAGAGTAGGTGTTTTGAAATTTCTTAGGGCCCCCAACTCGGCAAAAACGTCAAACTCACTGCGCGAGCTCAGAAACCGACCGCTCCCCAAGCTCGAAATTTTCTTTTGGGTAAGGGCTGCCAAATTTCGATTTCGGCAGGCCCTTCCCCCAAAAGTTTCAGAATGGCAAAGCATAAAGTACTTAAAAAATAGGGCTCATTCCATCTTTTTTTTTTTAGGCGGGGTATGAAAGATGTTCTTTCCGCTCCCTTCTGCAAATCCCACACAGTGGTGGGGTAAGTTCGCAAAAAGGGGCAGTCGCCTGACAACGACCGGCTCCGCGAATCTTCGCAGAGATCACAAGTTACATTTTCTATCGCCAGCCGACCACCAATATATGCTGAAGATTGGCGTTCAGGTCTGCATGTTGACAGTTATGGGTTAGGATGAAGACGCCCGTGGCTCTCTCGTTTTCTTGTTTTTGTTTTCTTACGAATACATCCAGTGGGGTCTGCTCCACGACTCACCAAATGCACAAAAGACATAGCATATGGCGGTGTATGGTTCCATGTTTTAGCAGAAGATTCATTCTACTAATATTATATACATTTGGTGAGTACATAGCATATGGCGGTG